ATCCTCAATTAGATCCAAGTTGGGTAGCTTATCCATGAGTCGATTAATGACAATTCTTTGGGACCTTGGGATTTGGAATGAGCAGTGGGATATCAGAATAAGGAGCCTGAGATAGCAAAGGCAGAGAAACTTCTGAGATCAATTCTAACTCTGCATCTTCGAATTACTGTTTTTAACAGTAAATATGTACTTATTCTTATATCTTCCTAAAGTTGTTTTTTCATCTTTACAAGACTTATGGTATTTATCCACACTCTTTTCTGCTCCCACCAAAATATCTTTACCCTTGATTTAGTTAGTATTAGTTGTGGGTGATTGCATTTTCTTTCTTCACATTAATTGTAAAATAAATTTGTTTTCATGATTCAGTGTCTTAACAAATTAAAAATATTTAATACAGATTATGCTGCTAGGTAGCCTCTTACTGAGATAATGTACAAGATAGGAAAGTCAAGCTTGATAGAGTTTATTCAGGATGGCCTCATTCAAGCACAGCTCAGAGGCACAATTCACACTGCACAGCATGTTACAAATGCATTGCATCTCCACAGCGAGAAGGGGAGAATAAAAAACATCAAGAATTATTTCGTTTTTGTTGCTGAAGGTACATGAAAATGCAGTCAACAGTAAAATGTAAGATGTTAAAAGACACAAAAGATTATATGATAGTATATCCTCGTTTAACTCTGTCATAGTTTAATTTGGAAAATGTCATATGTAAATATAGCTCTAGAGTTTCCACATAGATTCAACTAAAGAGTGCTCCATATAAAATGAAATAGAACTCATGATAAAGCCAAAATGAGTTAGATAAAATTGTGTTTCATAACTTACAAGTATTCAAATGAGTCAGTATCTAATTACATTAATTACATTAGTTCATTGACAGAAATTTCCAAGAGTTATACTGTGTTCAGAAAATAGATTTTGTTTCAGGAGTTTGCAAATTTTGGAATCACCATAAACATTTTAATTATTTCATGCAACATTTAATTTGAAATTGAAATTGTTTCATAAAAGTTCTATGATTATCTGAAAGCAGTGCAATGAATTTTCTTTGGTATGTTTTAAATGCTTACAAGTCCTCTCATTTCTTGATACCACTACAGAAATATATTACTAATAATTTATCTTAGGATATTTTTAATATTACCCAGTTCTCTTAAAGAGTAATTTACATTAATATATTCTCCTTTTTTTCTATATTCTTTATGAACAGAAAGGAAAAAAATATGATAAAAATAAGTTCAGAGAAAACATTTTGCAACTAATCTTGCTATAAGTACTGTTTTATAAAAAATAAAATTGCTGCTGATCTGAAATATAAAATATTAGATTTCTAGTCTTATGTGGAAGGATCTCATAGCAGCAATATTATTACTCTTCATGACACTGATAATAAGTCAAATGAGTAAACAGTAACTATGTTGGCTACTGAAAGATAGTTAAGTAAAATATAAATATAGGTAACATATAATTTGTGAGAGATTTTGGAATATTCAATGCCCAAGATCAGAGAAGGAAAGCTGACAACAGAGGTAAAGGTCAGAGTAGAGGGGGCCATAAGCCAAGAAATGTGGGCAGCTTGAGAAGCCAATAAAATTGAGACAACAAATTCTTCCCCTTCATCCTCCGGAAGGAACATAGCCCTGAAGACTGATTTTAGACATTTGACTATTAGATAATAAACTTAAGCTGTTTTATGACATTGAGTTTGTGATAATTTGTTACAACAGCAAGAAGAAGCTAATGTATCAGCTATTCAGTCATAAATCTGAAATGAGTCATTGTATACTTCCTCATATTTCTCTCTATGCCTAGGACATAGAATTGTGTGGTTTAAGGTCTCAAATTTTCTTTCTTTTTCAAAATAAATGGAGCTTAAGCCTTTGATGGTCAAATTAAAATTTTAATGAAGATTCTGAATAGAGTAGAATATATTCTTAAAAATTTTTAAACTTTTATTTTAGGTTCAGGGGCACAGGTGCATGTTTGTTATATAGATAAGCCTATCTTACAGGAGCTTGGTTTACAGATTATTTCATCACCCAGGCACTAATAGTTCTATTTCTCATACCTAATAGTTATATTTTTCTGCTCTTTTCCCTCCTCTCACCTTCCAAGCTCAGGTAGGCCCCAGTGTCAGCTGGCCCCCTCTTTGTGTCCATGTGTTCTCATCACTTAGCTCCCACTTACAACAAAATGTGTGGTATTTGGTTTTCTGATGCTGTGTTAGTTTGCTAAGGATAATGGCCTCCAACTCCATCCATATTGCTGCAAAGAACCACATTTTCTTTATTCAAGTCTGCCATTGATGAGCATTTAGATTGATTTCATGTCTTTGCTATTTTAAATGGCGCTGAGATGAAAATACACATGCGTACATCTTTATGATAGAACGATTTATATTCTTTTGCATATATGCCCAGCAATGGGATTGGTAGTTCTGTTTTTACCTCTTTGTGGAATCGCCATACTGCTTTCCACTATGGTTGAACTAATTTACACTCGCGCCAACAGCATAAATAAGCATTGTCTTTCCTTGCAACCTTGCTGGCATCCCTTACTTTATGACTTTTTATTAATAGCCATTCTGACTGGTGTGAGATGGTATTGCATTGTGGTTTTGATTTGCATTTCTCTAATGGTTAGTGGTATTGAGCTTCTTTTCATATGATTTTTGGTCGCATGTACAATTTCTTTTAAAAAGTGGTCAAAGGACATAATTTTTTTGCTAAATATAGCAGGCAAAATCATTCCTTTAGAAGGAAATCTAATAAGAAAAATTTATCGACATACTTTTAAAAGTAGAACTCAAATGTATATCCACTACAAAATTTCACTGATGGAGTTATATTTAAGTATCTCAAAATGTCTTCTGAATTTGCTTCACTTTAAGAAATGTGTTTAACCAATTTAAGTATAATACAAAATAATGATTTTCTGAAGACTTTTGGACAGAAAGTAATGACCTAACTATATGCTTAAGTAATCTGAATGATGTGCCTTACAGACTCAGGCAAGGCATATGGGCGATAGCACTTCCTTCATCTCAGTATCTTGAAGTTAATAGATTCTGTATTCAATGTTACTAGAGTTTGTCTACATTAGCTTCTTCAAAAGAATATATTATACATCTTCTTCTAGGTAACTTTGTTATCAAAATTAAAGACATTTAATTCAAACTTTTGAACTTTAAATAACTTACCTATATATGAATTTATTTAATGTGAAAAGGCAGAATGAGAAATTTAGCTATTTATGAATGGTAAGTCAGGACACAAAATATCTGTTGTTAGACATAATATTCAAAACATCAGAGGATTACTTTAATCGGTATGTATGTAGAAGGAAAAGCTGGATATGTATACATAAATAATCACTAATTAGAACTGATAAAAAGGCATAGTATTCAGTAGCAACAGATTACCTTTCAAAGTGACTGTAAAATTATCATATTCTGAATCGATGCATAGTTAATAGGCACAAAGAAAAAAACAATGTTAAATTTTAAAAAGAGACCTACTGCAATATAGAACATGACTGACTACGTTCAGGAGTCTTACGTTTTCTCTGTGTTACATGAGAAATATTCCCCTTCCTCTTGTTAAAAGTTTTACACTCTCCAGCTCACCTGATGCTAAAGATTCTCAATCCCATCTTCCTACTAGTCAAATTGAAGTTAATCATCTTGACCCTCTATATAAAATCTAATTATGTTTCTCTTGATCTCACTGGTTAGCTTCAATTCCTAACCTTCATTAATCTTCTGATTTTTCATTTTCCTAATTTTTATTGAACACCTTATGAATCAAAGAAGAATGGTCTTCAATCTTCTATTGCATAATGTATAGCATATATAAATGAACATGAACTGATCAACAACCATAACATAGCCAGGAAAACAGTGTACAGTATCAACCTCTACTTCTCTTGGTAAAAGGGTCAGCAGGAAGAGTAATATGACTGAACAACTCAGCTTGAGGAAAAGTAAAATAGTCCTTCAGAAGGTAACACAATATCAATTGTGATGGTAAGTTTTATGTGTCAACTAGGCTAGACAGTTATACCCAGATATTTGGCCAAACTTGAGTCTAGATGTTACTGCAAAGGTACTTTTAGATGAGATTAACATTTAGGTCAGTACACTTTGAGTAAAGCAGATTAATCTCCATACTGTGGACAGTCCCTATCAAATCAGTCAAAGGTCTTAATAGAACAAATAGTGATACCCACCTCTGGACTCGAGAATTCTGTTTTAAATTGCCCTTGGACTTCAGTTACACCACCAGTCAGGCTCTACCACTGTATGAGCCAATTCCTTAAAACAAATCTACCTCTTGACATATAGATAGATAGATGATGGAAGACAACAGATAAATGGATTGATGGACGAATAGTTAGATAGGTAGATGGATGGATAGATAGATAGATAATCTTTTACACACACATATCCACATCTTATTATATTGGTCCTGTTTCTCTGGAGAACTCTGATACTCTATATATTCATAAAAGTAGAAAAAATAAATTGATAAAAATGGATACTGCCCTTCTACTTATTCTCTCCTACTCCGATTAAAAATTTTGAAAATTCATATAATCTATAGAAATTGTCTAGAAATTAGTGTTGCATTTACTTGCTAATAGCATACTGAGTTAGAAATATTTACAGAATAACATGAACCTTCCAATCCTTTCTGTTATTCCAATTGCAAGATCAAAAAGCATGTATGTAACATCAATAAGAAGAAGGTTTGTGTGTGACCATCACTCTTGATAGGAGTAGGGCAGAGTCTCCCTTACAGAGTTACAGCATGTTCTAGTTGTACTTGGAAAGAAATATGATCTGCTTTTGTCTATACAGCAAGGGTTGTTAAAGTTTATATATATGTTGGCTCTATTTTGTGCAGATGGAATGAAATTCCCTGTGAGATATTTTACAACTTTCCTAGAATACTGAGTATACGCCACAGCTGAGAACAAGTGACATTTAGTACCTCACATTCCTGTTTCAGATAATTCCTTGCTCTTTTTGCCAGCCAGCTCCCTGTGGTACTCTCTTGTCCTCTTCTACCAGGCTTCCACTACCCTGTAAGTAAACGACCAAGACCAATAATTTCATGAAAACCTCTTTTGCATATAGCATTTTTTTTCTAGAGAAATGAGATACTAAGATGCATAAGACAACTGTACCCACCATTTAAAGGTAATAATTTATTGGGAAGACAGGATCTATACATACAAATTACAATATAAGGGGAGGCATGAGCTAAGAGTGTGAGAAGTACATAGACAAAACTGAAGATTTCTGAGGCATTCAAGATCTAAGAAAGAAGTTTTTGGTAGCTAGGCTTACTAAAATTTTAAGAAAAGCAGATATTGGTAAAGTTGCTTAATTCTGTTTAACTCAAACAAAGGTAATTGATTCAATGTTTTTGAATGACATAACATAATTTCCTGAATTTCAGCAAGTTTTATACCCCTGAAATGCTCACACGTCAATTACTCCATTATAATAGTAGTATACAAGTTCTTTGAAGATCATACGAGGTTTTGTTGCCTTTCTATATAGGGAGCAAAGTACAACATCTGTAACTTTACTATGTTATGAAACCATTCTCTTTATCAAAAGTTTAAATAAGTTTTGTAATAGCAAAACTTTTTTAAAAAACTTTCTTTATGAGAAATATTTATTAAAATAAGAGAGGAAGCAAGTTTCGTAGTTATCTCACCCTTTTCTCAAACAGAACATTCTAGTAGAGAATTATCATTGCAATGATACAGGACAGTCTCTTCTTTCCTTTCAGACAGAAGAATTAGAGAGCATTTTTTTTTTTGCAGAAATGTGTGATGAATCTTAATATGATGGCACCAAGAATCATTAGAGAATATTCAAAAATTCTTACTTTGTTGAAGACTGATAAGAATTAAGATAAATCAAGATTTCAAAAAATATTTAGAAATGTAGAAGTTTTTCATTTTTAATTTTTTGGTGACTCATTTTTCATTTATTTCCTTGATTTGATCTCTAGCAATAAACCAGAAGAAATAAACTAGTGTAATTAAAAGACGAGTGATTCTTAGCCACTTTTTGTTACTATGAGGATGGCTGGTATGGAATTCTCCTGTACTTTAAGGGTATTTTGTTTTTCAATGTTTAGTTGAAACTTAGCTATTCATCTGTAGTATGATATAAATGCTTTTCTTTAAGAATTCATTCAATAGCAAACACATTTTGAGTACCAATTTAAAAGAAAATGGAGATTACAGAGAAAACATATTGAGAAATATAAACTTTAAAATAATGTGACTATACCATATGTGTGCATATCCTTATTAAACACTAAGATATAATTGCTATAATTAGAATTTACATATAATCTGAAGATAGTTTATTAAAATGCTAAGAGAGGCCAGGTGCGGTGGCTCATGCCTATAATCCCAGCACTTTGGGAGGCCAAGGCAGGTGGATCACGAGGTCAAGAGATTGAGACCATCCTGGTCAACAAGGTGAAACCCCGTCTCTACTAAAAATACAAAAATTAGCTGGGCATGGTGGTGCATGCCTGTAATCCCAGCTACTTGGGAGGCTGAGGCAGGAGAATTGCTTGAACCCAGAAGGCGGAGGTTGCTGTGAGCCGAGATCATGCCATTGCACTCCAGTCTGGGTAACAACAGTGAAACTCCATCTCAAAAAAAATAAATAAATAAAATAAAATGCTAAGATAAAGATACATATTTTTAAAATATTATTTCTTAGAACTAATGAAGCTTAAATATTAAACAAATGAATTTTCTGGAAAATACACACAAATTCCATCTCAAAGTAAGTGTTATTGCCTAGTCAACAAATGTGTGTGTGTGTGTGTGTGTGTGTACTGATAATAGAAACAAGGGTTTCTAGCAAGAACTTCATATCAAGAATTTACCTACATATTTATTATCCAAAATATCATATATATGTGTATCTTTTTATATATTTAAAGAAAAGCTTAAGACTTCTTTAAAAGCTGTACTTGCAATAGTTTTAAAGTTAAATATGTTGACAAAATATCCATTTCCAGTGACATTAATTTCATGGTGAGTATTATGAAAGCCTGGTTTGTTGTCTCATTAAATTTCAGATTGATTTAATATTATCACCCTAAAATAATTATAGAATTCTTTTTATGCTGAGAATTCCCAGCGATACAAAGAAAATATTAAAACCTGTTTTCAATGTGGAAATTGGTATTGAGAAGTTATACACCGTCGAAAGCCATAGTAACAACGCCAAGGCAGTAAGATCAAAGCATAGTATGTTAATGCCCCACTAAATTGATGATAAACTTAGAGAAAATGGGTCTGAAATAAGAATATATTCATCTTACATATTAATGCATTGTAAAAGGTAATTTGCAGATGTAAAATATAAATTGATAATGTTCATAAACACTCTAATGCAATGTTTCATAAAAATAATGTATTTCTAAATTTGAAAATTATTATTTTAATTCATAGTAATGAAATAGACAACAAACAAGAAATCATATTAGATGAAAAAGGCAGAAAATATAAAGTGAAGTTGGGGAGAATAGTAAGATGAAAACAAAGAATAACCCAAGAGAGAAAAAAATAACTAAACCAAAAAATTGCTTTGGTATGTTTAATTTTCCATTTAGATTTGGGACTACTTTTTTTTTTTTTGAGGGGGTATATGTATAGGAAATTGTCTTGGAAGAAAATGAACTATGTTTCATCTTGGCTACTTTAAACTGAAAATAATGGTAGGATGCAGTGAGAAAATGAACAAACAGGTGTTTAGAATACTTATTCAATTATAAACAATTATATTATTCTTATAGAATTAAATTAATTCTTCATCAAAAGGAATGAGAACAATAATAAAATCTAGAAACTTAAGCATAGCTATCTCAAACTGGTCAACTTTCTTTTAAAAATCTAATTAAAAGTAACTCATCCAGACTTCTGAAAACATACATTTAACAATGAAAACTGGTCACTGTGAAGTTGAAGTTACGTTTTTCATTATATTTACATCCTATTTAAATCTGAAAGTTACTGATAATTTTCAAATGCATGCATTCAGTGCCATTTACACATGGTACTTCGTGTAGCACACACAAAACTGTTGTAGCAAAACCAGTACTCACCTTGTGAATTAAACAGGCAGCACTCATTCTTTTCCCACTCTGTGATATTTGTACACCAGTTCTTTACTTGGGCTACAATCAACACATAGGAAAAAATTAAAAACTGCAATAAGAACACTGAAGCTGCAAGGAAAGCACATCATAAACAGCTGGCAAATTTTGGGTTTTATCGTCTTGGTACTCAGTTTTGATGTCATGAATAGAAAGGTTTATGAATTATTTTAATGATCTAACCAACTATTAACTACTAATACCTAACTTCTCAGATGAGATGTTTGCTTTTGGAACGTCTTGTTACCTCTTCACAGTTTGGCTTGTCTGAGTTGTGGAAGCAAAAGAAACTCCATCTTGGATATTAATTAGCCATGTTGGCTTCTGATTAACTCTAGTTCCAAGAAGGCCTCTAAGATTTTCCATTATCTATTGTTCCTTGTGTAAGAGCTGGTACTTAGTCCACTTAGGTACAATAAATCCTGCAATTAGGTCAAACTACTTTGATGTTATTGTGCTTCAATTGTCCTACACATCCCTTCTGTGCCACCCCTTCCTTATGGTACATAAGCCCTGTGCCTGGGGGTGATGGGGCAGAAATCCACCATCTTGTCTTGCCACCACCCAAGACACAGCCAGGCCTTCTATTCTTAAGTCCCTATTAAATGCTTTTTTCTAAGAAACTGGATTTGTCAGCCTCTGTCTTTGGCCTCTCTCTCAGCTTCTTTCACTTTAAGGTAGGTTTGTGTAGACCTGCCCACCATGAAACAGAGTTAAAATAGGATTGTCAATATCTACCTAATCTAGCTTTCTGGAATACTAAATGACATGGCACATTTTAAGCAGCTAGTAAAATGTCTAACAAGTATTGAAAGCTCCATAATAAACTGCCTTTCCTTAACTTTTTCATACCAGCTGAAGAAGTTGATGTTATCTCTTTTTGTCTCAAATACATATTTTACATTTCATAGAGACATGTCTGTTTCCTAACTAGGGTGTTGTGGATCTGGAGTGACACATATTAAGTACTTTAAATCATATGTTTACTGCCTAGTCCTAGATTTCTATACCATATGGGAGGAGCTTTGGTTCATTTTGTCTCAACATCTGATAGTCTTTTCTTTCATCATATTTTGTACTTATATTTTTAAACTGGGAATGCATTGTGTGTACATAATTTACAGAAGTGAGCCTAAAACTCATCATGTCAGATGCTTGTAAACATTTCTCAGTGTTGTTATGAGATAATGACATTGACAAATCTACCCTTATAGTGATAGTTTCCAGAAAAATTCAAGTTGGCCACAGGAATCTCCATTAAATATGATTTCTATTACTTCTTCCATGTTGTTGTTGCCATTTTATTTGCTATGCGATTGTACATAAAGACAGCTTGGTCAGTATGTATAAACTTCCTTAAGTTTTACATTTTTAATAAATATATTAAATGAATGGAATAAATATATATTTGATTTATTGAAAATATGGCTACCTTCTATCATTCAGGATAACCAGAAGCTGAGTATAGTCAGATCTATGAATATCATTTAAATTTTAACTAATGTTTGTAATAAAAAATCATATATCTAAAAGTACTCAAGATTTTAGTGTTCTTATTTCACAATGTATTTAGATAAAAGTGACCCTTGTTCAAATATTCTTTGCCTAGTACTAAAAACTAACTAAAATTTTGTTCATATGACTTATCTCACCAAAATTGGCATGTTAACCTCAGAAAGAAATGAGATGTTGCTAAGTCTATATGTTTAGTTTGGTGCATACAATTCACATTCACTAAAACGAGACGCTGTTAGTAGATAACACAAAATCATTGTTCATCAGGGGGTTAAGATTTTTCTTCCAAAACAAGGCACATGCCACCTTCAGAATTTGCTTAAGAGCCTTTTCTGTAAAAATCCTTTCTGGCTCCTGGTATTCTAATTCTGACCCAAAAATTCTCTTGTTCTAGTTTGCTTTTCACTGAATATATTGATACTTCTATTATCTATTCAAATGTGCCTGGTTTTCTGGCAGTCTGCATTTTTAAAAATGCTGCTTTGCTCTGTATCACCCATAAATTGGCAAGTTCCTGGAAGAATATACCTCTGCCCACAGATGAGGTTATTGATATTAAGGAAGCTGAGTGGGGATGCCAGATGCTATCAGATACTGTGGATCAGGAGGCCATTAAACAAATATATTGTAAAAATGTCTATATAAAGGACACTTTTAACCCTCGATTTACGTATTTTATTGGTAAGTACTAAGGTTATCTTTTCTCCATCTTCTGGGAGGAAATCTCTGGCTCAAAGATAGTAGGTGTGTGGTGTGGGAGATGAAAATAAGTGAGTCCTAAAACAGGAAATCTTAAAGTAAAAGGCTCTTTTCTCAACAATGAAACTGCAGGTACTGACTGCTGAGCTCCAGAATATAAACATCCAGTCTACTAATCTACACGAAACAGACTGGGTGATCTACCATGAAGTAAATGAGAATCCCAGAATTAAAGCCTAAGCATTCTGATATGTGAGGTTCTCCAGTGAATAATCTTAAAGCTACATGTCCATCCTATACAAGCTCACCATGGGCAAGTTCCATCCATGCACAGATTGCTTTTCATTGCTTCACTTGTGAATATGAGTGAACAAAGATTTCCATATTCATAAGGGAAGTTTGCAACACAAAGTGTAGAAATCAAAGCAAACATTTTTACTAAAGGAATATTAAGGGATAGAGATAGACAAACATTATTTCACTAACAGAGGGAGGTTTCAAAAAGAACAAATGAAAAGTTTTGATATGAAAGATATTACCTTATATTTTCCCCTAAAATAAAAAGTTATAAGTTTTGAGGAGAGGCAGTACAGCAGAAGCAAACAATTTTCATTTTGTTAAATTTTACTACATTGAAGATGAAATATTGTTTTAAAATTTTCTAAAGCAGAAAAATTTTACTGAAATTTGAGAATAAAAAGAACTGAGATCACAAAAACAACACTAGAAGACAAAAAAATAGGAAAAAGAATGCCTTATAAGGTAAAATAGCTTACTTGTAAGGTAAAATAGTTCCTGAACTAGACTTCTAATCCAGTGAACTGGCACTCAGGTATAAGAGTAGAAGAGATATATTTTAGAGATGAAAAGTTCAAAATATAAATGTAGCTCTCATTATTCCTTTCTCAGAAAGCTTCTGGGTATGTATTTCAACAAAACAAATAAATAAATGAAGAAAAATTTAATGAGGTATTGGGAAAAGAGGATACCCAACACCTGAAAGAGGTGAAGGTAATTCCAAGGATGACAACTCAACTAGATAACAAATCTATAGTGCAATCTGAAAGGGCTCCAGAATTCCAGGAAATCCTGGGGGGAGGGGGTGGGGAGAAAAGAAATGGCAACAAATTGGTTATTTGAGCCAAAAGGCCTTGTGAAGAACTATATTACCCAAGCATTTTACAGCATGTATAAATTGTGGGATGGCTATGCCAAAGATTCCAAAAGAAAGCAAGTTTTTTTTTAAGAATCAGTTATTGCCCCAGGGAAATACAAAATATATACAAAAAAATAGAGGAGATCAACATCAGTTAGTAGTATCTTATAATAAAAGCCAGAAAAAAAGTCAAACCACTGACTTTACCAAAATAGAACAGAACATTAGCAAACTATGAATCCAAAATGGTCAAATATCCACAATCTATAAGGAACTTAAAAAATTCAACAACAACAAAAAAAATTAAAAAGTGGGCAAAAGACACGTACACATTTTAGAAGACATACAGACAGCCAACAAACATATGAAAAGACGTTCAGTATTACTAATTATCAGAGATATGCAAATCAAAACCGCAATGAGATACCATCTCACACCAGCTATTATTAAAAAGTCAAAAAATAATAGATGTTGGCGAGGCTGCAAAGAAAAGGGGACACTTATACACTGTTAATAGGAATGTGAATTAGTTCAGCCACTGTGGAAAGCAGTTTGGAGATTTCTCCAAGAACTTGCAACAGAGCTACCATTTGACCCAGCAACCTCACTACTCGGTATGTACCCAAAGGAAAAAAAAATCACTCTACAAAAAAGACACATGCACTCCAGTATTCATTGCAGCACTATTCACAGTAGAGAAGACATGGAATCAACCTAAATGATCAAGAAGGAACTGCATAAAGAAAATGTAGTATATGTACACCATGAAATACTATACAGCCATAAAACAGAATCATATAATGTCCTTTGCGGCAGTATAGATGCAGCTGGAGGCCATTATTCTAAGCAAACTAACAGAAGAACAGAAAACCAACTACTATATGTTCTCACTTATAAGTGGGAGATAAACATGGAGTACATATAGACACAAGGAGGGGAACAGTAAGTACTGGGGCCTTCTTGAGGGTGAAGCCTAAGAGGAGGGTGAGGGTAGAAAAGTTACCTATCAGGTCTTAGGCTCAGTATCTGGGTGACAAATCATTTGTGTACCAAACTCCTGCAACATGCAATTTGCCCCAAAAAAAACCCGCCCATGTACCCTGTAAATCTGAAATAAAGGTTGGAAAGAAAACAAAAAACACAAATGTTATTTATTCAAATTTGCAGTATAGAAATTTGTGGACTTTGGGCTTCGTGTAGTGTGGTTGGATAGTGCTGAGATAATATAAAATGCTAAGACAAGAGAACGCAAAATGCTGATATTAAAAATATGAAAGAAAACACACTGGATATCTTTAGAAGACATTCAAGTAGTTTGCTCTGGACAGAATAATTGTTAAAACTATGTGGTGTATTGCTGACCAGGAATTGTCGGGTTTGTGAAAGGAAATTCCTGGTGAGTCGCTGAAACTACACCATGTCAACGCTAACTGATAGCTTATCTTTACAGGTACCCACACCTGCCAGACACAAATGCAGATCAGCTTGTCCCCCTACCCCATTTTGTCTGTATTATTTTATGTGAAATGCAGATTCCCCACATTTTTCATTTGCTCATTTTGTTTAAGTAAAAACTGAGTGCTTCTTAATATCCTGCCTTTTTCTCTTTAAATTTGGAGAGCTCAAAATCATCTTCACAGAAAGGCATAGA